ATTTTTTTTTTGTTTTTTTGGTCCTTTGTTTCTTTTTTTTGTTTATCTTTGTGTTTTAGTGATTATCTGTGGTGTTAATTTTGATTCTTTTCTCTTTGTTTGTTTTTCTACTACAGGTTTTTGCTTTGTGGTTACCATGAGATTTACATAAAACATTTTATAGTTATAATAGACCATTTTACACTGATAACAAATATGTATAAATTTGGCTTGATCAATTCTGCTATTGACATTCTATTATATTTTTTATTCCATTCACAGTACTTTTTAGCTCTAGAATTTCTGTTTGATTTGTTTAGATAATTTTAATCTCTCCATTAAATTTCTAATTTTGGTCAGTAGTTTTTCCCTCATTAAATTTAATTTTTTCTCTGTGTTTTCTGAAGTTTACTGAGCTTTCTTAAACAATAATTTTTAATTCTTTGTCAGGGAGTTTATAAATCTCCATTTCTTTTGGGTTGGTTTCTGGTGCTTTATTTTGATCCTTTGGTGGTGTCATGTTTCCCTGATCATTCTTGATCTTTGTACTTATGCATGAGTTTCTGTGTATTTGTAAAAGCAGGGACTTATTTCAGTCTTTACAGACTATCTTTGGGAAAGCCCTTCAACAGTAAGCCCATCCAGAGATTCTGTGAATACCATCTGTTGTGTTCACAGGTAGGCTTGCTACCAGAATTTTTGGCCAGCTTAGCCTGGTGTCTGTGTCAGCAGGTGGATGGGTGTGGCACTTGGTCTCTGAGGTTTGACCTGGAATCTGGATCCACTGGGTGGACTTGTTGATTGAATTTGTAAGAGTGGGCCTAGAGCCTTGATTTCTGAGGGTATGCCTGGAGACTATATCCATGGGGGATGGCTTAAATCCTAATTCCTTAGGGCTGAATTACTGTTGGGATGGAAATCGAGCCTGAGTCTGCAGGGACCAGCCTTACCCTTGGATGGGCCTGGTGCCTGGATCCATGGGGCTGGTCTGATGCTGGAGAGTTCCTGGAGCCTGAGTCCATGGGGGTGGGCCTTGATTCTGGGTCTACAGGGTTTTGTCTGGAGTCTGGGTCTGCAGGAGTGGTCCTGGTGCCTCAGTGCATGGGGCTGGCCTGGCATCAGGGTTTACTGGAGTTGGCCTGGACCCTGGGTCTACTGAAGCAGGCCTAGAACCTGGGTATATTGGATCTTGGGGCCTTGCAGGCTGTCCTAGACCCTGGGGCTAGCCTGGTGCCATGGCAGGCATGGAATCTGGGTTTGTGGAGTTAGTCTGGAGCCTGAGATTATAGGTGCTGGCCTGGCACCTAGAGTCACAGTGTTGTCCTAAAGTCTGGAGCTATGGCAATCTGATTAGAGCTTAAGCCTGTGGATGCCAGCCCAGAGACTGGGTGTAGTGGTGCTGACCTGGAGGGTAGGTCCATGAGGACTAGGTGGGCCTGCGGTTTTAGGTGCTGGCCTGGAACCTGGGCTCATAGGAGCAGTTTTGGAGTCTGGGTTCATGGGGGTGGCCCAGTGCTAGAGTCTACTGGGATGGGCCTGGACCCTGGGTCTGCTAGAGCAAGCTTTGGTTCTTGGTCTGCTGAAACATGGGATTGTAGGGGTCAACATGGAGGATGGGGCCACAGGTATTGGCTTGGCAATGGATAAACCTGAAGCCTGGGTATACATGTGAGTGCTGGTCTGTCGTCTGAGGCTAGGCATGCTGACTTGATGGTGGGTTGGATCTGAAGCCTACAGCTATTTGGGGCAACCTGGCTCTGGGCTGGTCTAGAACATGGGGCAGTCTGGAACCTGGGGCTAGAGGGACTGGTCTGGTGCTGGGCAGGCCATGAGCCTCAGCCTGAGGGCTTGACTTGGAGTCTGGGTCCATGGATGTTGGTTTTATGATTAGGGCTGCAGGGGCCAGCTTCACATTGGGGTAGGCCTAAAGCCTGGAGCTACTGGGGTCTGCCTGGCAGTGTTGTGGGCCCAGAGACCAGGCCAGCTGTGCAGTCCTAGAGCTTGGGACCATGGGGGGACTTCCCAGCATGGGTTTTACTGGGGCAGGCCCAGTGTTGAAGTCAGAGGCAAAGTGCAGTGCTCACTTTCCTCTCCTTCCCCTATGTAGAGGTTATCTATCCACATCCTGCTAGGGGTGAGAGGGGTGACATAGGTAATGTAAAACTCTCCCTCCTACCCACTTCAATGTGTCTTTTCTATTTCTGTGCTACATTCAGGTGCTATAATGTCTCACCTGGTTTCCTTAGCTCTTGTGAAGATGGTTTCATGCATGGATAGCTGTTCAAACTGATGCTTATGTTGAGGGATAAGAGTTGGAAAATCTTATTCCTCCATCTTGCTGTCATCTGTTGAGAAACTGGATACAATTATTGATGAAGAAGCTGAAGCTTGGGAGATTGATTCTGTGTTGGTTCCTATTTTCCCGATAAGTAGGAAGCATAATCTTTTGAGATTAAAGGAAAATTTGTAGAATATAGGTTATAGGTAATTGGTGGGAAATGACAATGTATGTGAGAATAATGTGTAGTCTATAATAGACAAAAAATTTTCTCAGGAAGCTTTGAAGACCTAGTTCCCATTGGAGTTAGTAATTTTTGTTGGGACCCCTTTGTGTATAATTTTCCTCAGTATTGCCTTACATCTTAGCTAAAGGGAAAAAGAAGATGGCATATAAATTTATGGTTTAAATATGTCAGTTAGTGTAGTGTGTTAAGCCAAAGCAGAAGAAGGCTCTATTGAGACTTGGTTTTGGCCAGGCATGGTGGCTCACTCCTGTAATCCTAGCAGTCTGGGAGGCCGAGGCAGGAGGATCACTTGAAGTCAGGAGTTGAAGATCAGCCTCAGCAAGAATGAGATCTCATCTCTACTAAAAAATAGAAAACAAAATTAGCCAGGAAACTAAAAATTAGAAAAAACTAGCCAATCGTGGTGGTGCATGCTTGTAGTCCCAGCTACTTGGGAGGCTGAGGCAGGAGGATCACTTGAGCCCAGGAGTTTGAGGTTGCTGTGAGCTAGGCTGACACCATGGCACTCTAGCCCAGGCAACAGAGTGACACTGTGGCTCAAAAAAAAAAAAAAAAAAAAAAAAGAAACTTGGTTTTGGAAGGATTGCTATGTACCCATTTTACACTATTTGAAACTCAAGAAAATTACAAGTTATGTTTACATGTTCTTTTCTTAATACTTCTAAATCTTTTATAAAGTTAGTTTTTAGGATAAGCTGCATTTTGCTGTGGTAACAAATTAATTTTGAACTCTTAGTGGTTTAACACAATATTTTACTTTCTGTTCAGACAAAATCCACTGAGAGTTGGGTGATCCTCTAGGGCAGCGGTTGTTCATGCAGTTACTCAGTAATCCAGATCGTTTCCTCTGGGTGCCCTTCCATCTCAATGCGTGCCTTCCAGGCTTGCTGCAGCAGGGAGGAAAGAAAGCTGGGGAGTAGCACACTGGCTCCTAAATAGTTATGACTAAATGTGACACATACTACTTCTGCAAACTTGGTCCTACTTCAAAACAAGTGGGCTGGAAAATGTGGTAGCACACAGATTTTAGTGATCAAGAAATGGGTTGGTCACAACTCAGAATAAGTGATCTCATTTGGAATAAACTGTTTACTAAACTGTTAAATATTAAACTATATGTAATATATATATTTAACATAAGATACAGGTATGACTATGGAGTCATTTGGGTTAATTTGGTCTTTATAAAGGTAGAAATGAAGATACTGAGATTTGCAGGAGCCCTGACCTGGCCCTGATTTAGATCTTCTTTTTTCATTTGGATTCTTTTTCTTAGAATTGCACTGTGTCTACATCTCAAATTAATCCCCACCTCTTTGGTCTGTATTTGGCTGCAATTCTCTACTCAAATTTGAATGTGCAGAATTTCTGCCTTGATTACTCAGATATTGACTGTCTTTTATGTCAGCTACTTTCATTACTATTAGCTAAGCAAAAATCCATCCAATAAAAACCATTTTGGAGGTGATGTGATACATAGGATATTTTTGACAGAAAACAAATGCTCCACAAAATATCTTCTACCTGAGAAATCGTGTCCAAGGTTGTCTTATGCCTGTACCTGGAAGAATTTTATACCCCTCTTTGGCTTTAGGCAGAGAAAATAATTTGTCCTGGGAAGAGTAAGATTATAATGTGAATGGTGCCCCCTGGAGTTGTGCAATGCAGCAACATTACTTTTGGATGAGTTTTGCCTTAATGACTCTCATTCCTCAAAACTCATTCATTTCTGGTTGATCTCTATCTCTCACAATAATAGATCCATCTTGATTTTATTAGTTGGGATTAAAACTATATATTTTCAACAAAATACTTAGCCATCAGGCCTTTTTGCTTAAATATTAATATAATTTTGTGGTCTGTTAGTTATATAATCTGTACCTAAAACTTTGCAGAGAATTGTTTTACCAAATAAACTCATAGATTTTTCATAAATTGTAACATTTTTATGCTACCTAGTAATGTCTCTTTGATCAATAATTTGTAAATGCCAAGAAGTTTCTAACTGGAAGATACTTTAGTCATTATCTAATTAAATATTGATCTTTTATAAAAGAGAAATTATTGAAGATTCCAGAAAACAAAGGGAACAAAATATACTTAAACTCACATATTTGACTTGAAGACCATTATCCTTTCCATTAGTCACACATGTTGTTAAAAGATAAATCAATTTTATTTTTATATTCTCTATGCACACAAATTATTACCCAAGATTACACTTTGACACCAGAGCTTCCTCATGGCATTTTTCACCTCTGTGTTTCTGAGGGTATAGATGAAAGGGTTTAGCATAGGTATCACCATAGTATAAAACACGGCCACAGCTTTATCAATGGGGAAGGTGACCATGGGCCGAAGGTATACGAATATACAGGGTAGAAAGAATAGGATGACTACAGTGATATGGGAGGCGCAGGTGGAGAGTGCCTTCCACTGTCCTTCAGTGCTGTGAGTCTTTAGGGAGCAAAAGATGAGGACATAGGAGGTGATAAGAATAGAAAAAATGAGCATACACATTAGCCCACTGTTGGCAGCAACAAAGAGTCCGAAGATGTGAGTGTCAGTGCAGGAGAGTTTTAGCAGAGGAAAAAGGTCACAGATGAAATGGTCAATGACATTGGGGCCACAGAAAGGCAACCAGACCATACAGAGAATTTGAATCAGAGCATGAAGAAAACCGCCAGCCCAGGCCATAGCCACCAGGAGGCTGCACACCTGCCTGTTCATTGTGATCATGTAGTGCAGGGGTTTGCAGATGGCCACGTAGCGGTCATAGGCCATCACCACGAGCAGGATGATCTCCACTCCCCCAAAGAAATGTTCTGCAAAGAGCTGAGTCATGCACCCACTGAAGGAGATAGTTTTCTTTTCAGAGAGTAAGTCAAATATCATTTTGGGGGCCATGGTAGAAGAGCAGCAGCCATCTATGAAGGACAAGAAAGACAGAAAAAAATACATGGGGGAGCCCAGGGCTGGGCTGGTGGTGATTGTTACCACAATGAGTAGGTTGCCTGCCAGGGTGAGAAAGTAGATGACTGTGAACACAGCAAACAAGAGTTTCTGCACATCTGGGTTCTGTGTCAGGCCCAGCAAGATGAATTCTGTCACGTTATTCACTCTCTCCATGGATCAACTTTGGCATTCGGATAATTGATTTATCTGTGAATAGGACAAGGACTGCAATTGTGGCACATAAGTTTTGAACAAGAAAATAATTTGGGTCAAGATTATTTTCTGTACCACTGATAGAATTCCCAAGCAGATACACCCAAGACTTCGAGTTGGGCCATATTATTACATTAGTCCATAATGACACATGTTCCTCTTCTCTCTCATGCACAGAGACACACAGACACAGACCAATACACATATTCATTCATATATGCAAGCATGGTTTTATGTTGCCATGTTAGGCACCTTTCCCAGTCACTACCATAGTATTTTTTCTCACAGAAAAATAGGAATAAAAGAGAACAATATGGAGGCGCAGAGGCTTGATTTCCTGAGTCTACTCCTGGTGTTTTTTCTCTAGTTATGTGTGCTGATGAGGCTACAGTGCAGAGTTTGTCATTCTTAGTATTTTAACTTGCTTCAGGGTGAATATAAAACATCAGGTGAATTCAACTTGAAATTAGGGATGATGTAGTCACATTTTAGAATCAAATGAACTGAGTGAATGTTTGAGGCTGCAGTTAAGATACACCCTGGCAGATAGATTTGTGAGTTTGTGCCACCTCCAGACAGAATTGTCTAAGAATGCTACCAAACACCTCTGGAAAAAGCATCCTGAAGAGGATAAAACAACATCATGCAATGCAACATTCCCCAATTTATTTGAAACTTCAGAATTCACTGTTTGGAGAACTGTCATGTTTAGATTTCAGGGGCATTTTGCAAATCAAAACCTGATTTAAGGAAGACTGTAAAAAATTATCTGGCTCTGTTTAGAAAACAGATACTTTTAAGGTGAGGAAACAAAAGCACCATAATTTATAGGACAGAATGTGTTCTTTAGAATTAGATAGATTATTTTTACATTCCATTTTCACTGATTATCAGCCATACGATGTTGAGTACAAATCTTAGTCTTACTGCATCTAAACTTTTCCATACATAAAATGGGAAAAATAAATGTCATAGAGGAATTGAAGAATAGCAGTATTCTTCAAAACTGTTTGTACCTTAAAGGTGAACATATAACTTACCACACATTTCAAATCTTGATAAAAAGAACAAAAATGAAAAAAACTCACATATCATTATTCTTATCCTTGAAATATTTGATTGTTGTAATATTAAGAGAAAATAAATGAACTAAGTACTCAACTCAAGAGGTGAAAACCAACCAATTATATTCAGAAAAAAAGTAGAATACAGAAATTAATACATCAGGAAATAGAAAAATATTAGACTTGATAAATTCAAAAGCTTTTTAATATTTTAAAAATACAAATAAAACTGATGAATACAAATAAGCTCAATAAGAAGCAAGTATGGTAAAATCACAAAAGGACATTATTCGTGAAGAATATTTAAAAGGTGTTATGTGTAGTTCATAAAAGATCTTTTAATCACTGAATAGGCATTTTCCAAAACAAAGTAAATCTTCACTTAATGCCATTACCAAAAAAACAAAAAAGAAAAAAAAGGAGAAAAAAGAATAGCATGTATTAAAGACTTCAAATAAGACCTAGATCTGATAAAAAATAGAAAAACAATGTGAGTAATATATCTCTAATCTCTGGCTAAGGAAGGAGATTTTTAAACAAAAATGCAATCATATAACATACAGGAGAAAACTGATGAATTCATCTGCATAAATATATAGAACACACTGGGAGAATATTTGCAACAAGTTATGACAATTGTTATTATAGAAATAGTTTTTGACAAATTAAAATGTTTAGTCACATGATCATAAAATAGGGGCAAAACAAATAAAAAATAATTCTCAGAAACATTAGACATCTAAAAAATTTGATAAGAAGCTTTTTCAAGAGATGCAATTTAAAAACAATGAAAAACTAATTGGCAAACTGGCAAAGATTTATGACAGTCATTCAGTGCTGGTGAGTGTGTGTTGATATAAAACATTCTGGAAAGAAGCTTGGCCCCATATAGTAAGGGTTTAATTATAAATTTATGGTCATGTCTCTTAATATTCCTTATTTTTAGACATCTATTCTAGATAAAAAACATAGATAAAAATTATGTATACAGGTTGTATAAT